TTATTAATTAACTGTTCCTCTCTTACCGTCTCTCTTCCTCTCATTCTTCTCTTTGAAACGTTTTTTAATGTCAGAAAAACAAATTAATAAATAAAAATATTAAAATTTAGTCGTTTTTTTGCAAGTGAGTCGTTAGGCTCTGTTGAGCTGAGTGGTGTGTAGTTCCTTTGCCTGGGTAAGATACTACATTACCCACAATCCCTCCGCACAGCTACGAAGAAACTATCCATGGCTCTAACCAGCCGCTACCGGCTTCGAGGTCTCAGGATCCCAGCGGAGGCGAAGTGCGGTAAAAATAATGACGTCCCGCTCGGACAGGTACACGATGCTATCAGTATTTTTTTCCTGTGTTTGAATTTTTTTGAATCCTGAAATAATTAATGCAGTTTTTTTTATTTTATTTTATTCACATGTTTATAGTCCGCAGCAGCTTCGTCCTGTATAACGCTAACCACACTGACGCCCCTTCTCCTCTCCTCCTCCTTCCTTCTCCTCCTATAAACAGATGTTTACACACCATTCCGTTAAACCCTGTCTCTGTTAGTTAGTTATTAACTGATCAGTATCATGACGATGGGGGATGAAGGTGCATCAAATGCGCTTCAGAAGTAGGCGAGCTGCATGCTGACACAGTCGTGCGTCACAGTCTCTGAAGTCACGAGTTCAATCTGTGATCATATATAAACCTCTGCATTTCAAGCTTTATTACAAACATTAGCAAGGAAGTAATACCTTAATGGTTTTTTCTGTTGGAGAAGTTTGAGGTGGCGCTCGTTAAACTTATTTTAGCCTGTTATGAATGTAATCAGAGTACTACACGCCAGACATTTCTTTCCATACTGACGTGACAGTATCATACAATTGTTGCAGATTTGTCAGCTGCACATCCATGATGCAAATCTCCTGTCCCACCACATCTCAGAGGTGCCCTGTTAGATTGAGATCTGGTGACTGTGAGTACAGTGAACTCATGGTCATGTTCATGAAACAAGTTTGAGGTGATTTGAGCTTTGTGACGGGACGAAACAAGTGACATGATAATGGACAGAATAAAAATTAAAACGCCAAAAAACAAACAAACAAGAATAACGATCAAATAACAACAGACAACAAAGACTCAGTGTCACAAGATTCACTGTAAAGACGAATATTAAAGAACTCGAAACTCAACCCAGTGGTCAGACACCATAAGCACTAGAATGGTGAAGCGATATTGAAGATAACAAATGATAACGAATGATTTTTACAGTTTTCAGTTTTCTGTCTGTCTTCTGTCTTTGTCCTTTGGGTTGTTGGTCAGCCGAAGTCCCTTTGCAAGGGCTGAGACTGACAGTTTTCACTGTTTTCTCACATGACGTGTATCATAAGAAATCATTTTGCCCCATTTGGTTTTGTAGTGTTTCTGTTGATCAGGTCAGTGAACTGAAAGGAAGGATCAACAGAAGACATCCATCATGGCTTCTTTTTATTTAGAGGTGGCTCTATTAATACCAGCCAAGCAGCTCTTTGCTGTCAGTGTTACAGTGATCCTCTTAGACTCTGTCACTCACTTTCTCGCAGAGAGAGAGAAAGCAGGACACGGGGAGAAGAGCAGATTTTTCAGATGATTAAGGCTTCACAGTGAATGCACAAAGTGAAAACAGACTAGAAATAGACCTGTAATTAACACGTTCACGGCCTCGGTCAGTGCTGAGGGCCGCTTGCTGTTGTTTTTGGGGAGGTTGCCACAGTGACGGGTGAGCTGGAGGGTAACAGGTTGTCGTCCGAAGCAGATTTGACTCTGCTGGACTGCACAGGAGCCAGAATCTCCGGCTGCTGGTCGTTGAGGTCTGACCGCAGGTAAGATGTGGCTGACTGCAGTGTTGCTGCTGTTGTTTTCACGGGGCGATCGTGGCTCAAGAGTTGGGAGTTCGCCTTGTAATCGGAAGGTTGCCAGTTCGAGCCCCGGCTCGGACAGTCTCGGTCGTTGTGTCCTTGGGCAAGACACTTCACCTACCGCCTACTGGTGTTGGCCAGAAGGGCCGATGGCGCGATATGGCAGCCTCGCTTCTGTCAGTCTGCCCCAGGGCAGCTGTGGCTACAACTGTAGCTGCCTCCACCAGTGTGTGAATGTGAGAGTGAATGGGTGGATGACTGGACGTGTAAAAGCGCTTTGGGGTCCCTAGGCGGGACTAGTAAAAGCGCTATACAAATACAGGCCATTTACCATTATATTTACCATTTGTTTACCATTTGTTTTCTCTCAACACAGACACCCTGCTGGTTTTCCCCCAACAAAGCTCGCATACACACTGTGAATACGTGTGTGAGTGCTATAAATAGTCCGCAACCAGGGGTTGTTGACAGGTCAGAGGGAGTGCCGTATCCGGATTAGTTTGCAGTGATTTGGTGTGAGAGCTGGGTTTATTTGGGTTGCTTGAAATGTGTCATTACTGCACAATTATAATGACCTCGAATATGCAAAACACTCATTAGTCTTCACTTCCATTCAAGATTTGTCCCATTTAGTATGCATGCGCTGTAGTAGTGCATCACATCCAAAACAAGCAGGGTACCGATTTAGTTTCTAATTATTGCCTGTGGGAGTGTATAAGTCCAGAAAGAGTCCCCAGAGAGCATGACGCAAAAGCTAAGCTGACTTTTCCATGTTCCATCGTTAATGGTGATGTGAGCCTAATCTAAATCACTGTGATCTAAGCTGCTGTGTACCTAATAAATTACCTTACAGTCTTACTACTACACTATAGACAGAGGTAAAGCAGTATTCATATTCTTTATGCCAGTACTGCACCATAACCGTAAAAGAAATGACAGTGTAACTTAAAGCTTTTGTTTTGTGGCTACAGTATCAGAACTTAAAATAGTGAAGAGAAAGAATCACAGCATGTGTTTATAGCATTGTTACGATAACAATAGTACATCTCCACTCCTACTGAGCTCTCACAACGCCTTTATACTACAAGCTGCAGTCACCCTCACGCACACTTTTTATCTACGTGCACAAATGCCTATGGATCAACTTGGCATTCACTATCTTGAGCGTACAGTGACGTTAGCTTTTCAAACTCTCAGCTTGCTGAGGTGGAGCCGGAACAACAGTAGCAGCAAATTTCCATCCTATATAGGGACAGGGATAGCTCAGTAGGTAGAGTGTTGGCCCCATGATTGGAAGGTTGGGGGTTGGAATCCGGCTACCCTGAGGTACCCCTGAGCAAGGTACTGTCCCTACACACTACTCACTGGACGCCCAATGGCTGCCCACTGCTTCACTGACAGACTGGGTTAGATGCAGAGAAGAATTTCCCCACGGGGATCAATAAAGTATACATTACTATAAACCACCATATGTTTATGTTAATCAAGTGTTCTCATACTAGAAAAGTACATGCTAGCTCATACATGCTAGAAAAGCTCCAGTAATTCATATGTGTAATTCCTGAAGACTCAGAACTTCACTGGAGGGGTGAAACACCATTCTTCTTAATTATGGTGGCACAAACTGTCAGTGTAAAGTCTCCCAGAAACGCTCACTTATGTTTAAATGTGGTTCCTGTAAATCTCAGCGCATATGATTCATATCATCTTAGTACTGAAAGAGCTCCTTCTCATCAGGATAGAGATTTTCCTCAAAGAAAAACTGGATGTGGCCCTTATATGAGATTTTACATCCTCAGTGATCAACAGCAGAGCTCATAAACAGTAATGTGTTTGCGTAAACTCTTTTCTGCTTGCACAGCAGGTGTCGGCATTCTAGAAATTGTATCTTGCTGTTGTTGTTGTTTTTGACCATGAGCTCCACATTTTTTAGTAAAATATTTAAACAGGATGTTTAAGGATGGTTGGCTATGGTACAGATTTAATGCTTTCTAAATTCAGAATTATTGGAAGAAAAGAACTAATTAACTTTAATATGTATAAATGTATAATTTAATTTGTATGTGTTTGTTTGTATTCCTATGAATGTGTAGGTATGAATGTACATGTATGTGTATATGGGCCAGTTGCATTTCTATTCAAGCATAAATTTGAGTTGCTTCTGTACAATTGGTTAATATATCCTCCTGAGAACTGAGGAACTTGAACTTTTTTTGTGATTTCCTTCCTCTTTGGAGCTAAGAGAGGCCACCCAAAAACATGAGATATCAATGGAAAGCCCAAGATGTCCTCTATTTAGTACATTAAGACTTAGTAAGCTAGCTTAAATAAGTCAAAAGATACAGACCAAATCAATTCAATCCATCTATCTATCTCTATTGAAGACGCCATAAGTTTTAGCTAACCTTTAACTCTTAAGACCATAAGCACAAAAAAAATACTTGTTAGTGATGTTAGTGTTAGCACTGTGTGTGACTGTAAATTAGCTGCATCATGCAGAAAAGCCCAGCAAGTATTTTCAAAATAAATATACATTTGCATTAGAAATCAGAGAATACAGACTACATCATTTGCTCTAATAACTCTATAGGCCTAGCTGTGACAGTTTCCCTCCTGGTCCTTCCATGGATCGTTTGTTCAGGCTGTGACCTGCCCTGCTGTTTGCTGTTTTTGCAGTGGGAGCGGGGAGGACTCGTTGGACCGCCTCCTGCCCCCGGCCGGGGCCCCTCGCAGGAAGAGCGCTACCTCGCTGAGTAAAACAGAGCCTCCTCTGCTCCGCACAGGCACACGCACCATCTACACCGCTGGCCGGCCGCCCTGGTATGACGAGCACGGCGCTCAGTCAAAAGAGGCCTTTGTCATTGGTACGACACTCACTGATGATGTTGTTTGTCCTCCAGA